AGGTAGTAGGTAGTAGGTAGTAGGTAGTAGGTAGTAGTAGGTAGTAGTAGGGTAGGTAGTAGTAGGGTAGGTAGTAGTAGGGTAGGTAGTAGTAGGGTAGGTAGTAGGTAGTAGGTAGTAGGTAGCAGGTAGCAGGTAGTAGGTAGTAGTAGGTAGTAGATGGGCAGGGACACAGGATCAGATTAATAGGGGGTAGTAGTGCAGATTATTGATGGGGGACCGGCCCTTGTGAGGGGTACCCTTTGTGAGCTTGTCAAATGATTGTTTTTAGTTGTTTTTTAATAAGGCAATTTATAGGCCCTGAGCCCTAGACATTTTCACGAAAGCTAGCCTTAGCTAGCTGGAGTTGCTCTTGCTTTAGCAAGTTAAGTGACGGGGTGGACGCACCTCAGAAACCTCAAATAATTGATTAAATCAATCTTATGGACCCCCCCCCCCCCCGGCGGTTCGACTCCCCCCTGCGCGCGGTGAGCGGGACCACCAAGCAGCTGCAGCACACCAAGCATCTGCAGCGCCCAGCGCAGCAGCGGCAGCAGCAGCAGCAGCAGCAGCATACCCAACGCCGCGGCAGCAGCAGCCGCAGCAGACCACCCAGCGCCAGCAGCAGCAGCAGCAGCAGACGACCCGGCGCCTGCAGAGCACCCAGCGCAGCAGCGCCCAGCGCAGCAGCGGCAGCAGCAGCACCAGCAGCAGCAGCACCAGCAGCAGACCACCGGAAGCCCGGCTAGCTTTCGTTCACCCCCTCTGGCCTCAAGTAAAGGATTTCATCAAACAGCAGCAGCAGCAGCAGCAGCAGCAATAGCTACAGCAGTAGCTAGTAGCAGTAGCAGTAGCAGCAGCAGCAGCAGCAGCAGTAGTAGTAGTAGCAGTAGTAGTAGCAGCAGCAGCAGTAGTAGTAGCAGCAGTAGCAAGTATAATGTCAAGTCAGGATAAATAAACCTCCACTAGTTAACCCCTTATTAAAAGTAATATTACTTTTTTTGGACCGTGTAGGCTCGGATTAACTGGGGGGGGTTGTTGGTAGAAAATTAGACAATAGGGGGGGAAATCAACAGCGAATAATACTTTTAATTTGGGCAATTTCCGGCGGCGTTGTGGGCTCGGATTAACTAGGGGAGGTTTATTAATCCTAACTTTGCATTACACTGGATGCCTCACCAATTTGATCCAACTTGTGTTCATCTAGCAACAAACACAACATATGTTCAAATGCAGCAAATCAGTATTTCAGGGGACCCTGCTCCACTTCCATGTTCTGATATACAATATTCAAAGGCACAACAAGTATTCCAGTATTCCAATTTCCAGGTGTCCTATGGTGTCCTTGCAAAGTTTGTGAAGTCTTTGTTCATTTGCCAGTACAGGAACCAGCTTGTAATGGCCAGTACAGGGCATCTTTCGTTTCGGCTTCACACCGAAGTACCGTCACGTACCGTCACTCGGAAGAGGGAACGCCTCGCCTGTCCTTGAGGGGCCTCCATTCGACCCCACCAGGGGGTCGACGCGAATCCGCGAAGCGAATCCGGGTCGAAGGGGGTCGAAGCCATTGCATGTCGATCTCGGAGTCATTTCAAGAATCCCTCACAGACGTGGCCAGAGCCAGTGCCAGCTTTCTTCCTTTATCACCTGCATGCATGCATGGTTGGCCATGTCCATTTTCGAGCTGTAGATCCATGTAGACCTGCACATGTTCACCTCTATCTGCTCTTCACATCAGAAACTCCACGCACCTTGGGTAGCATGGTCCGTGCTGTTCCTTTTTTTTGGGTCACGCTTCGTGGCACCGGAACTTCGGACCACTGCGGTCGATCAGGAGGACTCACACCCATATAGAAAATGGGGTCATGGCACCAGGGTACCCTGATTTGACCTACCAACGAGCTCTGAATCAGCCGACCGGTTGGGTGACCTCGAACGGTTTTCGACCGGTTGACGCCGACCAATCGGACGCCGACCGTTGTCCACTGATGCGTCGGTCGGGCAGGATGAGTATTTGGTGCTACACCTTCACCAATGCGTGGTGCCTGGTCTGAGGAACGATGTAAACCGTGACATCGAATCTTTTCAGAGTATAAATCAAAGGTACCTTGGAGTCGACCTGGAGATGTGCCTTCGAACATGCGTACTAAAACTAGTACCTGAAGTTTAGTTCGGGTCATGACCCGTTTTCTAAGGTACTTTGGAGGGGTCTGTCCAGGTAGATACTGTAATTGATTGAGGAGGCTCATGGACCCTCAAACTGCTCCATGTTTGAGGTCCAAAGCCCTAATTAGGGCGAGGGTCAAAACCCTAGCTATGAGGGTCCAATGAGCCCGTACAACACATAGAACGCTGTAAAAGCTCAGCGGAGGATTTGTGAGTTTCTTAATCCTCTTCCGGCCCGGTCTGAACAAGAACTCACAAGAAACTGTTGAGAGGTTTCTGGCTCACCCTGCATGTGCGCTGAAATTTGATGTGAGAATGCGTTGTTTTTGCGCAGCTCGTGCCAAGCAGCTTTCAAGATTTGAAGGACAACACACAAAAACAAACACCCCATGCCATGTATGGAACAATTACTGTATATGCCTCGTTTGAACCACATATGGCAGGCTGGCTGGCCCAGACAGGTTGTGCCTGGATTCGGTTTGTGTGGGACCCGACCAAAACGACGACTGCGGCGACTCCGTCGTGTCTGTCGGATCACTCTGAGTGGAACCTGATGGTCGCCCCATGCGCCGATGTTCTGGGCCGAAAACGGGTTCGACCATTGCAGGAACGGAATGGTGAACCGCTGGTGCTTGTGAAATCCTTAGTAAAGCATATATGATGGTTCTTGGACTCCTTGGGATCGTGACGTGGATGGCCCCTATGGCCGTGTTGGCTTTGTCCTTGGCAATCCTTTGCATCAATGATGCGCAAGGAAGCCTGATGAGTCTCGAAGCAGGTGCCCACCCGTTACCTTCTTAAGTAAACTTGCCCATCACACATTCCCTACAGGTCAAAGGCCTGCTCATCTTACTGGATTTGGTCATACAAGTTCACACTCCTCGAGGAGGTCAGTTTGACCAGTGTTTGGAGTCTGGGTCTGTAAGAAAGACATGAAAAGCATCGAAAAAAAAAAAAAAAACACACATACCCCACAAGGAAAAAGAGACATTAATTGGTATACCTGGATTCGATGGCGCCAGTTTTTTTTGTGCTGAGGAACGTGGCATTCTTGTGGGTCTTCCTGGTCTTCGGCAGCGGAGCATGGACACTCCGGGCGGTGAGGTCTTCGGGCGGGGTGAGGAGGCGAGGCCGATCTTCAAATCTTCCATGGTGCAATGCATTCATGTGAATACCGTATGGCTTAAAGGATCTTAGAGGTGTTTTTGGTTGGGGTCTATTGAAAGGTGCGTTTTGAGGGCCCTAATCCGTATCTAGTTGGGTCCAACGTCCAGAGATTTCTGTTGCTTTGATGGAGAATATCCTGCACCAAGCAGATAGATTTGTGAGTATGACACAAGACAGGTTTTTTAACCTGTTCCCTGGTGGTTTCAGAATTTGTCCAGAATCGTCGAATCGTGCACCAGCTAAGAACCAATACAGCCCAAGTCGACCCACAGGTACAGCGTCTGATTCAGACTTATGGGCGATTTGATGTGTTTTATCAAGACTCTTGAATGTACCGCACAGGCTGCATTCACATGTGGCTATGCGACAGTCTCGTTGGGAGGGGAACCCCCTTGTGATGGCGTTTCGCGTGGCGATGGTTGGATGTCAGGTTGCAGTTCAGCCCTTCACTGCGTTCACTGGTACCAAAGGGCTTTGCTCTATTGGCTCTATGGTTTTTTGGACAGAGTATCGCATCCGTTGCAAGCGGAGGAGATCTGGTCCGCCGAGGTCCCACAAGGACATGCAAAGATCGTTCCCAGGTGGGTCAACTGGATGTCATTCCTGGAGTAGATCCACTACTATAGTCATCCTGAATATGGGCACCATATGTAAATCCATACATTCCACTGGCCCGTTTGCTCGCTCCCAGGACAAGCGTGATGATCGTCCGGCGGAATCAGCAGCAGATCGCTGATGCTTGGCTTGCAGCAGATCGTCGGCCTGATCCGAGTGCAGGGGTCAACCAGTGCAGGGGTCAGCCAGTTCAACAGCAACATGTTGATGCTTTTGGAAACGAACTGTGGTGGCTTGCTGACAATGAGGTGGCTTTCTTCAGAATCTTCAGACGTTTTGACATTTTTGACATGTGAGTTTTGTGTATGTTGTATGCGTTGTATGCATATGCGTAGAGGTCCTAGCAGCTAGAGCCAGAAAACTGCTTTTCACGCCTCTTTAGTTTGTTGTTGGTTCATTTTGATCACTTGAACACAGACTAGCTCTAGACTATTCAATGGTTTATTTGATTCTATGTGATGTGGATGCGTGGTATGTTGTATTTTCTATTATTGTCTCAGTTTGGCAAGGGTGAGTGACTTAGTCATATTCTGGAGGGTTCCTAAGGCTAGAGTGGCTATACCTAGATCGAGCTTGACATTTTGACTTTTGGAGTCAGAGACAGACCCGGACTCTACTTGGACCATCCAGAGATGGTGTCCTGTTTGGAGATCCTGGATAATAGTGTACGGTAGTCCAGCCAGGATACCCAGACAGGTTTGTCTTGGTGTGTAAGTTCCATTGGCTGCTTTAACATTCCAAGTGCCCGCACGAAAACCGTTGTTTGCCACGCTGCAATTTATTAAAGAGCGGACGTGAATTCCAATTTGGCAAGCACCTGCAAAAGACCCATCTCAAGAGCGATCATCATATCACTGCAGCTTTTGGATATGTTCAGCGGCTATGTTGAATTGAAACTGTGGCTGGGGCTTGAAAAGCGATAGGCCCATCTCAAACGCGATACTTTTGTTGAATCATGTCCTCTTCGGTAGCAAAGCGTTTTGGCAGACGCTCACATGTTGTGGCCAGAAGCGATCATTGTTCATTTTCAGACTAGATAAGTGAAATATTGAATGTTGACTCAAAAGTCCATATTTCTTCACAAGTGCAACTTTCTTCAGTCCCTCCCGAGTTGCACCCGTCAGTTGGCCCAAATCACATCGACAAATAAGGAGCAAATAAGGAGATCATTCCAGAACAAAAACGATCAATACAAATATATCAATCAGATCTTTTGTGCGTTCTTTTTCTGAGTTCCTTCTGTTTTTTTCGATGGACGCACCTCACATCCCCACAGGAGATGGCCGCGCAGGGAGCGACCCGCATGGAACAAGTGCTGCGCAACGGCCAGTGGATCGACACTGGGCTTTCTCGTCCGAATCGCAGCGGCGTTGGGTGCGCCGTTCACTCACCTCCAAAGCCTGGCCATTAAACCTCACAAGAAAGTCTTGAAATACGACCCATCAAACACGTGTTAGCAATTGGATGTATATACATCAACATACACCAACATCCATGCCAACACACCCCGCTTCTTAGAAGGAGTCCGACTGGAGCCCGAGAGTGGGTGGGAGAAAGAACCTTGACTAGCATCGCTTCCGGACGGTTTTGCGACTGGACCTGCCGACGACGAAGGGGTCAGAGCCAGGGGCGGGTTCGGCGAAAGAGGCGACGTGGTTCGCAGGAGCTGTCTTTTTTTTGGGGGAAATCAGCTGGAAGAACCACTGAAGTAAGAATCGACTGAATCAACTGGAAGTGAAGAGTCTATATCTCTTGAAGTGAAGAAATCAATATGAATCAATTGGAATCACCATCACGTCTACTGATAAACTGAGCCGCTTTTTCTCGATCTCAGACTGTGAAACACATGCTGCGAACTCGCAGCTCGCAGCTGGGCTCGTTCTCGCAGCGTGGCCCGGCCCTGTCGAATGCTGTCTCAGGAAGTGCCTGCCACCGAACTCGTGCTGGGAGATGTGCTTCAGGCGATGTGTGCGCGGAACGGTCGATGGAACGGCGGTCTGTTGGCACGGGGGTCCTTCCGGTGGATTTGGATCGATCTGGTTGGATGATGGAAGGACATCCCAACGTCAAGAGAGATTAGGTTGGATTCTTATAGCTTGGTGGAGGAGGATGGTTTTACTGACAGAGTCTGGTGTTTATGAATGTGTGGCTTCCAGCGTACTGCTGTGTGGGTGACAGTTGTGTCATAATGTATTTTATTGTTTGACCATAATTGATTGAGCGCTTCAAGACGGTCATTCTACTGTTGATCTCACCGAAAAAAGACGGTCAGCTACATCAAAACCGGTTCAGTCAACGCCGCTTTCGTCCTCGCTACGGCGGACGGACTTGCCCATCTGCCTCGGACGGCTACGCGATTCCACCTCGGCACAACCTCGGTCATGTGACTCTGCATGTGATTGGGAAAGGTCACGAATGACCGGAGATCTGACCGAAGATGTGATTCGGCCACTGATCCAAGGTCGACCTCGGTCCAAGACCTTCCACCGAAATGTCTTGGACTTAACCATGAGAACCCCTTCCCTTCTGTCCCAGAGATAGCCTTTTGGCTATTCATTGATTAATAAATTGGGATACCGCCACGTGAGCAACCAATATACATGCATGTATTTACTAGAACCTTCTGTCCATGTAACACTTGACGTACTGATCTCGCATCCATCACGTGCTCCCAACCGCGCGCGCGCGCCAAGCGCGCGCCGCTCACCTGAGCTCACAGCCTCGCAGGTGGCTGATGGCGTAGCTTCTGCAGATTTGGTTCTGGTTTCCGGGTGCGCAGTGGTCAATGAGCCCCTTGGCCCCTGAATTCACGTGGCCCGACGACGGATCGGACAACGACCCGACCCGACGGATCGGACGAGACTGGTCGAGCGAGACCGAGCGAGAGACTGGTCGGCCGAGAGACTGGGAGCGTTTGGGTGGACTATTTTGACAAGAGCAGGGGGAAAAGAGGTGACGGAAGAGGTCACGGAGCCTAACGGCCAACAACAAGAAACGACGGAACATGACTGAACGGTCACCTTTTTTCTGCACGGAGGGCCACCGAAGGTTGACATAGCGCCTCATACCGCCGACCATTCCTGAGTAAGGCGGTCATATATAAAGACATACAAACTTTATGGGTTTCCGACATGCATTTTTACTTAGGTCGTGTTTTTAAACAGGTACTCGGGATTAGAGGCAGGCCGCCGTGGTTGGATTGATTGCTGGGTGAACCCTAGAGACGGGAAACAAAGCTTTAGATTTTATTATGTACCTCAAGCATCCCTAAGCACCCCTATACCTGTTAAATAAAAGGATTGAAAGCGGGAATTCACATGCATTCTGAAATACATTGGGTTTCTCCAGAAAACATATTGTGGTTTTGTCAAACCCCTTAATTCTTCGCATGCAGAAAGGACATTGTTGATGAATCGAGGCCCTGAATGAGTGTCCATTTGTGCCTGAGATCCAGGTTTCTGCCTGAGGTCCAGACTCCACAGCACATTTGGCACTTGCTAACGGTAATTCAACGAGTAGTATAGGTATACAGTTTCTTTTTGGTGATTTGCTCGGTTTTTGGAAGGTAAGGAAGTGACCACTTGAGGATTTGGTTATACAAAATAGCGGGTGGACAACAAACCTGCGCCAAACCCGTGCCATTTTACCGGCTAACTTGTACTTTGGAATACATAAAGCGGTCTTGCAAAAACATTATGTTTTTTCAACCTGTGCCCAACCCAAACCATACCCTTACATACCCTTACTAACACATAGTTTTATTACATACATGTATTTACTTCCCCCCTGTGAGCAAGTGAACGAAGGATTTTGCCATGACCTTTGGCATCAATCTTTTGGTATGCAAACCAGAAGATGTTTGTTGTTTTTATCATGGAAGTCCTTCAGGTGGGTTCAAGCTTGAGAGTCCTTCAGGTGGGCACGTAGACCCAATTCATGATCTACTGTGGGCGGAATGGTGAGACAGGATGAGAAAGGGGTCAGTGAAACATCCTGAACAACCTTCTGTTCAACAACATTGGGTTTGCATCGAACACATTGTGTTGTTTTTTGTTCACTGACCCTGTTCAAACAAGTGTTTTTGTTGCTTAGTGTATACTATGTTGGGCAGGACCCACATCACAAGGAATCTGCCCAAGATCAGATGACACTCCCTGGAATCATCATGAAAGTGGACAACCACCGATTTGTAGAGGAAAGTCGCAATCCTTCTAGGGACATGCCATCCACGTTGGCCCATGATGATTCCAGGGAGTTGGCCCATCACACTCAACCCTCAACCGGATGGTGGCCGTTCGGAGCTCTTTTGGCTTCCGTCTCTTCACTGTCAACCCTCAACCCTCAACCCACCAAATTGGAACCTCCCCTCCAAAACCCAAAGCACCTTCGGACTGATACTGGAGGAGCATGCTCACGGGAGAACCGATGCCGCTGCAAAAGGCCTGATCGACCGCCTTCGAAACCGGCGCGAGGTTCTCGGAGCCGTCGGAGTGGGAGCGGTGCAACGTGGGCGTTGGCAGCTTTGGGCTGTTCTTTTCTGGGGGAGAGTGGGTGAAGCCAAGAACTGGGTGATGTGGGTGTGTCTTATGTGGGTTCCAGTAGAATCCTATGTTTGCTTTCCCGAGCTGGGTGAAGCCCTGGCCGTTTCTTTCTTTCCCGAAAGTTCCTGAAATCCAAGCTTCGGTGGAGTGGCTTCAAGCGACTGCGAGCTTGGACCGGTTGGTCCATGGTCCCGTTGATCCAAGGGCTTCGTGGTGGTTCGGGTTGCTTTGCAGGGCGGGCGTGTGGGTGCCTGTGGGTGTCTGGCGCTTCAGGACGGAGCCCCAAGCAGAGCTCATGACGCTCATGTCCAAATGGTATCATCTCTACAACCAGTTTCCGTGAATGGCAGGATGAAAGAAAAAGTCTTGGCTTTCTCCTTGCATTCAAGTGTCCAAAATAATCCAAGGGAGTCAAAACCAGGTATATGGTAGATGGTTGGTTTTGAAAACAGCATCCCTGGATTCCAGGGTTCTCTTCTTGGGTGACCCGTTATATACTTTAGCCTCTGCATGCGACTAGATGTGACTCAAGGGAGGGTTCTTCTTTCCTATATAATTTCGTTTTTCATGGTCATGCTTTTCCGGAGAAAGGGTGATGTTCCATCTATGGTGTGAATCCTCTTCAGTCTTTTTTCCCTCAGCGGGTTGAATTGTAGCAACTCCAAGTCCTTGGGCTTGAAGTGATTCCTTGGAGGTCGCGGTCGAGCCCATGAACCCTTTGCCCTTCGACTACCAGGCCCATGGCAAGAAGCACGGCATCTTTGCAGGCGAAGAACGCGACGGTGCGTTGCACGAGTGCGAAGAACGTGCCGCGGTGCTTAGTTGATCACAGGATTTAGATAGCGAAAGCTGTGCACTGTGGAATGTTTGGTGAACATTTGGGCAAGGAATGGCAAGGAATGCTTGGAAGCAGTAGGGAGCGATGGTGGGTGTGGTTTTCTTGTCAGTTGATGTTGGGCTGGGTGTGAGAGGGTCTCTGGACTGATGATTCAAGACACACATGTAGGACTAGACTAGATCTCGTGGGTCTGAAGAAAGACCTAGCTGGGGAAGAGGGAACATCTAGCCCTGTAGCAGTAGTTTATAAGATGAGGGCGGGGGGAACAACCATGATTTAACTAAGGACACACTATACTAGTACTACTTAACGCCAGATTGTCCTTTCTTTCAATGGTTTTGGAAGGCTACGAAAGATGGTGAGTTAATATGGCAGGTTGGAAGAGATGGCTCCGTCCTGCGCGAGTGCAGCATAAGTATATAGTTCTGCCTGTGTTTTTCTTTTTCCAAAAAACCGTGTTCGAGTTCCGTAGTGCGTGGACATCCCAGAGACCTGCTACTGCCGTGATCCAAACATGCCAAACAGCTAGAACTGGTGATTGCCTTGGGGGACAAACAGATCCATGGCGGGTCAGCTCTGTTCCAAATCGTGTTTTGTTATAACCTCCGACGGACATGGAGGTTTTCCTTTACGAACAGGGGTGAACTCCACTTCCAGTGTGTAGGAGTGTAGTGAAGTCAGTGATTCTGTCGCCTGACTTTGTCCCACCAGCTTTCTCTTCAGAAAGGAGATGTCTTGTGGAGCACCACTTACTACAATTAGTTGAAGAGCAGGACATCTGCCATTCAAATGCTTAGGTCCGATTCGCTGTCTCTGACCTTCCCCCCCTTCCCACCTCGGTGGTTTCAAGCACTAAAGTCACAAAAGCCTATCGTGAGGCACCGAAGTGCTCCAGAGTGTCGCTGATGAGGGCAGCAACAGCAATCGTGGCGTGGCAGGTGGCCACGGTGACCCGAAAATTCGGCTCGACATGGGCGTGGATTACAAAATAGGGAGTCCTCCCAGTTTGACCTCCTGGTAGAAGGAACGACATAGACAACACATAATAGATCTATACTGTCTATACTCATTGAGAGTCTCCGTATTTTCAAATACACGCCCACATGGCACCCAGCTTCTTTTCGGAGCCGACGGAGGGGAGCTGTCGGAGCGACCTAAAGGTGAACTTGGTGAAGCTCAGAGAGCACCTGTTTTCATGGCGTCAAATGACCATGAAAATCCATCGTGGGAGACCGTCGTGTTCTGAAGTTTCTGTGGCCTTTTGGTCCACGGTTCATGCTCGGTGAATATGGAGAACCTCTTGACCAAAGCAACCCAAGGTGCACTGTGCTGCCCTGGTGAGTTTCTTTTCTTCCCAAAGGTTCACCCAGAGTGGCCGGTTCATGCTTGGTTGATCATTAAACAGTTTCCCATCAGTTGAGATGGGCACGGGGAGTCGGAACATGTGCACCAGGAAAATCCGCCCAGCCCGACCGCCCCACCGCCTGTGCCTACACTTAGAACACTTGTGGGCTTCCATTGGGCACCCATTGGATGCTCCAGGTATATAGTTCTTATCAATTATGAATGATTTCAGAGCCTTCACAGACCATAAGAATTCCCTCGATGCAAGTTGTTACAGTAATTGTTTTTTCTGCATCAGGGGAAGGGAGGAGTACGAATGCACGCAAGAATGGCTCCAAGTACGCATGCAAAAGAAGGAGGGTTCCCTACTTCTGGCTGCATAGGATCAAGACTTTCAGAGGGAGAGGGCTCCATGTGTCCATCCGAAACGAGTCTCACCGTTGGGCGCTTACAGGAATGATGCAGCATGGGTTCAAAGGGTTCAGTCCTACTTCCGAAGGAAGAAATCTTGCACCACCAGAGATAGAAAGACACCATGGTATTTATTTCTGGTGTTTTGGTGGTGAATTTGGGAGTTTTTTCTACTTTCTTCCAACAGTAGTGCGGAAGCGCGCTCCTTTTTTGAAAGGACTCAACCGCCACTGGTTCCTATCATGCAGTATTATACAATCGGATTCCCTGTAGATCGTTCGGGAAGATAACAATCACCCGAAAACCGCAAAACCTAAGGGATGGATGATAGGTAGGTGGTGACTGAAATTGAGCATCTCCAGACTAACCCTAGAGCCTGGCTGAAAAACAAAAAAAGCCTTCTGGGTTTCATCCCCTTGCATGGGGAATTAATATGTTTTGCTGCTTTTTCCGTTGCCTGGACAGCAATTCCAAGTCGATAGGATGCTCGTGGACCCCGTTTTTTAGGAGGATGAACCGTCCGGAAAAGGCTTGGGCCAGTCCCTTCCTTTGCCGTGCGCGACCAGTGCAAGAGAGTTTCACGAAAAACAGTTTCTGGGGAAAATTCCACACCGGCGGCCCTGAAATGCACCTGGAGTCTCAGGATGTACTCACCTCAGAAAACGGGTTCCTATTTTCAGTACGCATAAAGTCAGGTCAAGGTAGACCAATGTCTCCTTTTCCAAGGTCTTTTTTTGCAATTCTTTATATATAATATGTCTTTCTGAAAGTTTCTGATCCCTACAAGTCCAGTCTGACACCTCTTAATAGTGTTTTTGTATGACCAAGTCCAGTCAAATGAGATCCGTTCCTGACCTGTAAAGGGGATTGACAAGGAAAAAGACTTCCAAATAGATAGAATCAGACAGAAGTTCGTAGATCCCCACATAGAAAATTGGAATCCGGGCCATCCCCTCTCTTTGGGGAGATGTTCTCAGCAGCGGGTGTGCATTAAAATAGGGTGACCTTCCGAAGGTAGACCAACACTTTTAAAATGCCACACACCCATATAGATGGTCCCAGATTCGTTCGTTTCAGCCGAGGCGGTTCCACCGTGGCCGTGGGGGTGGTGATGGCCATTGGAGGAAGGACGACCAAGGGCAAACTGATCCGGATGGTCTTGTACCCAGCCACTCAGCGGATTTTCAACACCTCAGCCCTCACTCAGCGGATTTTCAACATCTCAGCTCAGCTCACTCAGCGGATTTTCAACGGGTGGTGGTTTGTTCGCGGATTATGGATTACTGGTGCTGTTGGAGTCACTGGTGTTGGGTTTGGGACTCTGGCTGCGAAATGATCTGGATTTGCTTTCGCTGGACACCATGACGTGAGGATTGGGGATTTGGTTGAGCTAGGATTTTCGGCTAGGACCTCCCATGCGGGAACATGTCATGGGGAGCATTGGATGCGGCATCTTGACGGTAACTAGTTCTGCTCTTGGGGAATCCCTGCGAGTCAAAGACTAAATAGGAATATATAGTAGAAATGGTCTTTAGGTGACCCTAGGCCCTAGTTCAGGAATTTCCTGAGAACTTCAGTCGGTCAATATATAGTCGAACTGGACTCTTAGCGGAAAGTGCACAATTTTTCATTCTTGGCTGCCAGGGAGTGGAAGTGGGAGGTGGATTCACAAAGAAAATTGTCTTGATTACAGAGCCGAACTTCCCAACGTGGGGTGTGGTCAGCCAGTGACGGCTTGCCTGCCTCAAAGTGCAACAAACATGAGGCAGCAGTGAAGTTCAAATACACTGAGCAGCTGCCCATCGTCTATAGCTTCATGACCATTTGGGTGTCTCGACGCCGGGCTTGGGCTTGGTTTCGTCGGGACGACTGTCTCGAGACAGTTCTCCACATGATGTCACAAGCAGGCTGAGCTATTTGGTTTCATGGTAAATACCCGACACATGTAAAGTCACTATAGTGAAATAATGTGTATATCTTAAGTCTTCCTTTCATAACTTCAGGTAGTGGCAAGGTGGACCCCCCGAACGCCGGCCAGAAGCGCGGACCTCGCTTCGCTGGGCGATCCCGATCCAGAGAGGCGATCCGCTACGTGGTCGGATCCGTTCGGAACGGTCTCTTTCTTCGCAGTTCGGACCTCTGGAAGCCCCTAGAAGTCCAAAGGTTCCGAGTATTATCGACCATTTACTTGGGTGGAGAACACGGAACCGGTCGATTTCTGCAAAAGGTGTAGATCCCCTAGAAGTCCAAAGCCTATTTTCGGCACCACCCAAGTAAATGGAGTTCCTGAACTCGGATCACCTAAAGACCGTTTTAAACATGGTCTTGGACTCCCGGGGGAAGCGCCTGAACACATGTTCCCCTTCACTTCGACGGCCGGCCCGTGAGGCCCGTTCCGTTCCGGGGGTCCCGATCAGTGGCAAAGCAGTAAACCAGTAACAGTCCCGTCCTGCAACCTGAACATCATCCACTTGGCCCACTGGGCCCTGGTAATGGTACTATATCCAATCACCGCCATCCTACTGTGTCTGTCGGTTTGATGCCCTGAAGGTCAAAGAATCCATACTCCAAAGGGTGACTTGGATGCTGTCCGTCGGCACATTTCGGCGCCTGTGAGGCCGTGATTTGCTTGGCGGCGACCTTGAGATATCAGGGTCAAGGATGGGTCACGGGCTGCTTCTCAGGCAGCGGGATGCCGAGGTGTTTGTATTTCGGCATTGAACATGCACTCTATGGGACTGGAAGACGCCGCCAACCACAGACCCCCCAAAGCACCGCAGGCGATCCATCTGCAAATATGGTATAGTCATCCTAGAAGTCCAAAGACTATTTTCAGCACCACCCCAGAGGTCAGGAAGTTCCCTTTCGGATGGTCTTGGACTCCCAGGGGTCATATTTGGATATGAAGGTCAGATCGCCAAACCTCCCACGGTGTGGTTTCGGGGTTCGACTTCACGAACGGGAGCGACCACGACTCGACCCAGTGCGGTCAGGGGCCGTGAGGGCAGTACACGTGAAGTGGAATGTTTTCACGACAATGCCTACTGTGAGAGAAACCGGTTTTGCTTCATTGCGGGGTTCACAGAGCATATTTGGTTGCAAAGCACGTCCATAGACAGATCTGGCACAGAAATTGTAAACCTAGCTAGGTTTGTTCTTAACCTTCCAATCAAGTGTGGTTCGCAGTGGAACGTCAGCCAGCTGAGAAGTTATCCACCCTGAAATATAGATTCATGGCTGGATAGTCCACGGTGGTGGAAAGGAGACTCATCACTTACCATGCTAAAATCAAGAAACCATGACTAAAACTAAAACCATGTTCTGATTACAAGTCCCCAGCCAAAATTTTGGATCCAAGATGCATAAAATTTTTGTTTTGATGTCTGTGCAGAGTTGAGCCTTGAATTGGTTTGACAGCAATCCACTATTGTTATGGTCGAGCCTCAAGCTTTTGCATTTATGTGCAGGCATGCTATCTAAGTATGGTTAGATGATGTTAGATGACACATTGGAAATCGATATGGCCTCAAAAATGAGAATCATGTCAAATGGTCTTTGGGTGCGCAAGTCATATTGTTTGCTGCTTCTATCTTCAACTGTCATTTTCGTAGGATGTCTCAGAGAATTGCTCCGCTTTCACATCTTAACCTTCCATCTTGGAGGTTTAGCACACGCTTTTGAATGATTGACAACCATGAGAAATGACTGATGAGCCGATGAGCCTACCTTTTTCCGAAAACAGCCATCAGAGTAGGAGATGGAATCAAGCTTTGTTTCTCATGTTTGTCGCAAAAGAGGACCTGCCATGGTTCTTGTACAATCTCGAACACACAAGCTTAGCGTGAGGCATTGTAGCGACCAATACGCAAAGCACTAGAATACATTGCCCACGCGCAAGAAGCAGACACATGTTGCTGAAAAGGTTCCCACAAAACAGACATGCAACCTTGACAGCCAAACAACCGTTTGCTTAAGGGTCCGATTGCCTATAGCAAATTGCTTCAGAGAAACCAAAGCAACTTCACATCCCTAAATTGCTTTGTCCGGGCAGAAAACTTTTCCAATTGTTTGCGGGACTGCATTGCATTCTGCAGGTGTTTGCAAGGTGTGCATGAGCATACAACTATGTTCAGTTATATGCAGTATTTATATGTATTTATACAGTATACAAGAAATACAGTACAATACAATACAATACAATATATACTACATTTAGTTTTACCGCAAACGGATATGTATACATGTTCAGGTCCCAACCTGCCACTGGATCCGTCTCTGGGAGGCTTGGCATTTCTCACACAGGCCTTGAACCCGATGATGGCACCTGGGTTTGCATTTGGACCTGTGGGGCCCAGGGTGGTTTGGATACCCTTCGGAGTCCAAGACCATTTTTAAAACGGTCTTTAGGTGATCCGAAAGGAACTCCATTTACTTGGGTGGTGCCAAACATAGGCTTTGGACTTCTAGGGGATATACACCTTTTGCAGGAATCGACGAACTCCTCTCCGCCAGCCGGTTCCGTGTTCTCCACGCATGGCCCAGAAGACTCGGATGACCACGGAGAAAGAGCCCAGCGCAGCTCTTGCCTGGAAGTCGGAACGTGGCCCAGATGTCTCACTAACGGAAAGACAAGAGGCATTGGTGTAGACCAACCAGAGAAATTCGCGCGGCCGGTGGACTTTATTTACGACGTGCACCACCCCTTTGTGACCCCTGGATTATGGATTTCTCATCTCAAGATGGTGGACCGGTCTCCAAAAAGAAGGATCGCCATCTCAACAAAAAACAGCGCAGTTCCTGGGCAACGAAGATCGCCAGCCGCCAGCTTCGCGCCGGCCCCGGCCCTTTCACCTCTCCAAGGCCATGGCGTTCCAACCAATTCGTACGACTGTACGCACAGTCGTGTAGAGACAGTCGGTACTGGGGGAACTGTAGCAGTGCCTTATCACGCATGACGTGCTTTTTTGGGGGTTTCTCTCTATATCATATATGTCAAACATATATACATTGTGGACGAATTGAAACGATGCCGTTCGGCAACGGACGATCCATTGAATACGTTGAACCCCATGAGTCTCACACTTTGTTTTTCATCCAGAACATATTCATGAAAGAGAAAGAGAGAGAGAGAGAGAGACCACCAACTTGGAGTGCCTCGCACAGCATGTTTGTGCGAACATATTTGCCCGAATCCAATACATCAAATGTCATTCTCCCAATCCTCGTCAACCCTTTATTGTGCCGACACAACTGGAACCAGTCCAAGAACAAAACGATCTCTAGAACCTACCGACTTCCCCGAGCCCGGCCTTTCCGAACGGTGTTTCTGCACGATTAAGGCAGTGTCGTTCACATTGGGCCAAAGCTGTGCAGCAAGCCGCTTGAAGGAGAACAGCATCTCCTGCTTGAACATCGGCAGGAGCGGGCCTGAGCAGAATGAACAGTTGATGTATTTTTCACACACAATGAGCTGTAATTGGTGAGATATGATATATATGGGATGCTGATGCTAAACGAGAAAAGATGATGGTTATCATTCGTAACATTTTTATACACCAGATTGAAATGCTGAAACTTTCCTGGATTGAGATTGAACATTGGATAACCTTGCCCAGGACCTTGGAAAACGATGGTGTGGCCTGTATTCCAGACTGGAATCTGGGTTTTCTATGGTTTTCTGAGAACCGGAAGCTGAAAGATTCTAGGAAGACCATTCTCCTTGTTGTTGAGGTGTTGTCGGTTCTTGTTTTGTGCGCTTTTACCAGCACCAGCTTCAGTTCTTGACCGGGCTTTGGAGTCCCTGTTTGGAGTCCCGATTCCCTTCCAGGCCGGCCCTTTTTTTTTGATGTGACCAATGACTTAAGCTTCAGGGGATGAAGCTTCGGTCGAGTACTCGAATCAGGGAGTATGACTCGATGAACAAACTCCGGGTGCCGGAGGGCTTCGGTGCTGCCGCCGTGATTTCCGGCCGCAAACCAAACGACTGGACCAGTGGAGGGCGTCTTCGGATCGAGGAAGACGAAGGCATCGTGGCGTCGGTGGAAGGGTCGGTCTGCGAGGATCCCCATTGCTGGCAAGATTCGGACGATGGTCTTTGACAAGACGGGCACCATCACCCATGGAGGTGAGACGACGCGCGGTTCGAACGGACGGGCGGAGCACGATGGAGCCGGGGGAAGGTGGGAAGGATGACATGTGACATGTACAATTGATGTTGCAGCTTTCGGGATGATTGTTGATTCTCCCGAGGCATGGGGAATATGTTCTATTCTCCCGGCTAACTAACTGGACAGCAAATCCAAAGGAAGGTCCAGATTCGATTCGAGGTCTTTGGAGGTTCGATTGGGAATGTTCAACTTGGTCAAGCGAAGTTGAATAAACATGAATAAACACTCTTGGCGCCAAAATGAACCCGTCCATATCCGTCCATGCCCAAGAGGGGTTGTAGATAAATGTAATGTTTTGTCCAAGAGGGTTGACATGACAGGAACCAATTATTGCGGTCGTATGTCAGAACGGTGTTGAAGGGCTAGCTTTTGCGATGTTCAGGAGTGCATGTTTCTCCTTTTTTTCAAACAGTGTTTAAAGTATAGGGTGAGGCTTCTACCGTGAACATTCACCTGAAACACCAGTGTCTTTTAAGATCGATAGGTGTGAACATGTTGGGGTGTTGGATTACACGCGCTTCATGCGGATGTGAGGCTAAATCTTGGAGCCTCTTCCACCATGTAGCTGTTTCGGTGAGAGAACCTTTTCCCAAAGATATTCCTCCTGTCCAGGTCCCACCATTGGTCACTAAGCCCGTGTAAGATTCAAATTCAACAGGGCTTGGATCCAGGATCCCTTCGTCCTCAGATCTCCTCAGATTGCACCTCAAGGAGGTTGGTGTGTGTGTGTGTTTGTGTATGCACCTCAAGGAGGTTGGGGTGTGTGTGTGTGTGTGTGTTTGTGTATGCACCTCAAGGAGGTTGGTTGGTTGTCTGAAAGCATCATGCAGTTTCCCAGCCTCATAGTCTATCATTGAGTCTATAGATGTCTATTGTCTATCCCAAATCATTCGAAGAATCCCTCCACATGTTCGCCATCTTCGCGATCCCCAAAACACCACCTGCTACCGGCGGAACGCACACCCTGCCTCAGAACAAACCACTTCACCGCCTGAAGCATCTCGGCTCGGAGCGTCGGTTCCCGGCGACCATGGCCTCGGGGCCACGAACGAACGCGATGGCCACGACGATGCCAGCAGCCTTCGTGGCGCGGAAGGAGGCACGGCGGCCGCCCTCCGTCCGAGGCGGGGGCTGGGGTAGATGGTGGGTAGATGGGGTACAGGGACCTGCTTTATGATGAGACAGATGCGAAGGACCTGAGAATTTGGAAGGAGGTGCACTTTTCTATGCATTTTGTGAGTGCTACGTACAGAATGCAGCATCATGAACTGGAATGAACTGGACATATACATTGAGCTTGGTTGGTTTGGCGGACAACGACCGGGGGGGCGCGAAACAATTGCCAACATTTGCCAACCACCTTTGAAAGGTGTAAGGGATCTTGGCTTCATTCTCATTGGGGATCGATGCGAGCCATAAACACACACAAGATATTGAAAGGCAGTCGGCTCAGCTTTATGGATGTGCGGTACGTTAGTTATGTGAACCAAAGGTTTTGAGCATCCAAATCATCCTTGCCAAGAGGGGAGGTTTAAAGCCGAGAAGGGCATGCTTAGCTGAGAAGAACTTGGGTTTGGCCCAGAGGCAAGATCCGGAACATCAGAGGGAAAGAGGACATGTTTAGCATCAAGAAATAGGGGTGTGCTGAACGAGGGTTGGTCTTGAAGCCAGCCTGGGCCTAGTCTTCCCGGGAACCACCCACAACAGCGTCTTAGGTGCACTGTAGTGTATGTTTGGATGAAGGGTCAGGTATATGAGATCTCCTGGAAAGATTAGGTAGACAAGAGAAATGTATAGTTTAATCAAGGTTGACATGTCATATTGACCTGATTTAGATGGGTGTCAATCTAGCTTTTCTCAACTTGTTCCTTAAGACCATCCACTTTGGAACAAAAGGAACCGCTGAACCAACCGACCTCGCGGACCCTTGGCAGTCGTCGCTGTCGTCGCAGCTTGACCGGCGCTTTCGTCGCAGGTGTCAAGCCTTCAGTGCCTCATGTGGCACGGCCTTCCTCCACACCGGCCACGCGTGTGAACCGCGCGACGAAATCCATGGACAAGCAGCCCTTGCAGTACTGGAACCAACAAGCACGGAACCTGGGCACCAACAAATAGGTCGAAAGAGTACAAAGACCTTAACTTGCTGGCATCGGCAGGTGGCTGTATTTCAATCTTTGGCAAGTACCCTATCCCTACGGTCAACGACCTCATTTTTCTGGAGTTGGTCATACGAATCATACAAAAACACTACTCAAGGAGGTCAAGGACCAGGTTTTGGTCGGAGGGTATTGATATTTATGACCATCTAAGTATACATTGGATTCCTATTGACAGTACGTGATTCACTTTTTGGACATCGATTATTCTGACGAATGCTCATGGTCTGCAACAGTGAAGTCTTTTTGCAAGTAACAATCAGCAGGGTAAAGGGGGCAGGTAATGATGGTCTCAGACTCAGACAAATAGATAGGAGGGATGAGGGATGGTGATGTTTTTTTTTTTTTAATAAGGACCTTCTAAGTCCTAAAAAAAAAGCGGGTGCAATCTGAAAGATCGTCTTTGAAGCACTGGTCAAAGAATATCCCGGTTCCCACTGGGAAAACCCGGTTTTTGCACATTGCATGTGAGGTCATTGATTCGCTGCCTTAGAGTCGCTCAACACATGGCGGTGAGAAGGAAAAATTGCAAGGCATACTTTTCTTTTGTTGATCATACTCTATAGCATCCTAGGATGTCTGAAGTTTTGTGCTCAAAACATCTCACGACTGCTTTTATCTTTGGTCTTTGCACCATCCTCATGGGCGCTGCCCCTGCTCCCGCACATGGAACATGGTTGCTCATTTTCGTCCGGAACCCTGGTGAGAGCGGTCAGCTGCGGAGCTCAATGTCCAAGGGTCCTGCAGCGAGTTGAGCGATGTACCCCGCAGACTTTTGTGAATCAAGTCAGTGGGGTTGGGTTGGGCCATGGCTGTGAAAACGGACCTCTCTGGCCTAGCCTGCGAGTGGGACTCGGTGGCGGAGATTCGAGAACGTCTTCGGGAAGGACATCCGCTGGTGGTCAGTGGTGACATTAACATAAAGAAGGCAGTGGAAGCTAAGCCACTCCTGATGCCACTTTTACAAAGGATGGCTGTCAATGAGGAGAAGAAAATGCCTGAGATAGAACACTTGAGAGAATCCATCAAAGAGGTTTACACCATGAACAAGCATGACCGTGCTTCGTGGGAGGTCCAGGGAGATTCGTGGCAGGTGAGAAAACTTCTGGGCCTTATCAAACTCAAGATCAGAAAGGCTGACGTGAGCACTGAGACAAAGCAGCATTAATAAAGTTTGAGTGCGTGGGCATGAACACATAGGGGTTCCTACCTTTTTCTCCCTGCTCCCAAGGACACGTCTTTTCAAGACATGGTGTTGACCCTTGCACCGAACTTGAAGGACAAAATTTTACTGGAATGTTGTCAACCATCAGTAGTGCAGCGCATGCCAACATGCAAACTTAACTATGCTCTCGAGTTGAGATTGCAGGAAACAGCTGATCAAGTGAATTCAAGGGTTGAAGCGCGACGCAAAGAGCGTGCTGCAAGGGGCAGCCGCGACAGTGTGGAGGCCATTCATTCTTATTTCATTCCTTTCTCATTAAAGAACCAAATATGTCAGTTGATTTGCTGTATCTACCTTCCTTTCCCGTGGGTGTGTAGGAGCCCGAAGAGGAAGATGCATATGATGAAGCGGATCTTGTTGACGATAATGCCCCGAACCGTGAACCTGCACCACCACCGCAGGAGCAACAAGTGAGTATTGTGCAGAAACTAGGGCATCCCTTGGCATCCCTTTTCAAATCACCGACCCAGGAGCCTCCCAATTGTCCTCCTCCATCGGAGCCAAGCGTTCCAACAAAGCCTGCCGCAACTGAGGGCGATGTGGAAGGCCATTGTTTCACATTCCACAAAACTTAGTCAATATATATGCAAACATGCGCATGCGTGTTAAGTTTTGTTGGCTTGTAGGCCGGCTGGCAAGAGCGCGATTGGCTTTGGAACAGTGGTATCCTTAAGCATTCTATTCATGCAGGTTACGAGGTCTCTAGGTCACCCCGCGCCCGTACTATAAGGTTCAGGCAAAAGAAGAACGAGATCCTTGCCCAGGCTGCAGCTGATCTAAAACCAGTGGTAGAACCAGAGGAGCCTGCTGCACCAACTGAAGGAGCCTTGTTGTTCCATTAGTTGTGTGTGTGCGTGCCATGAGCGTTGCTGAGACCTATCATGTGAATGCAAAAAGGGAGTAGGCATTCATCTTTCAAAGTGCTCTTGGGGGATGCAGGACCACGGACGGTAGCTGTTCATGAGTCTCTTCCATATGGCCATGACTATTCTGAGACCCAACCGTTGACTAGCATTATGGCAGCTGCTGTTCCACCATCTTTGCCACCTCCTACCATATCTCCACCCACTTCAGCAAGTGAAAGGCGGCGCCGCTATCAAGGTGTACCACCCGGGTCTTTGACGCAGCGCTTCGATGGAGTGAGCGCTGAGGGAGGAGGTGAAACACCTGAGGAGGAGGTCGCCAAGGAGGTTGGCAAGGATGTCCCACAGGATCCTGCTCAGACTGAATCTCCGAAGGATTGAATGGGCATGGGTGGGGGGGCGTATGCTGCTGCATGTGTATATTTTTTTATAGCTCGAACCCATGTGTTCATTCTTGTTTGCAGGAGCACCACATATTGGATGACTTTGTCTTGAGGAGGGAGCAGCAAATGCGTCTCAAGCAGGCCAAGCGCCCGAAGGAGAGGAAGGCTGGTAAAGGAGGGGGAGGAAAGAAGGGAAGAAAGGGGAAGAGGGCAAAGGCAAAAGGTGCTTCTCGTCGCCGCCTAGAGCTGTTGAGCGTAAGCCCAAAGAAACGTGCTACCAAGAAGGCGGAGAAGGCGGCAGTGAAGGCGGCTGCAAAGCCAAAGCCTAAACAACAAGCTAAAGCGAAGGGGAAGGCAAAGGCAGGACCGAAAGCCAAATGCACAGCAGCCAAAACCAAGCCTGCCCCCAAAAACAAGGCGAAAGCGAAGGCAACTAGGAGCAGTGCAGCATCTGCAGGAAATGAACCGGGCAGGGCAAGCAGGCCAACAAAACGGCAACGCAGTGGTCCAGCACCGCACATAGCTGAACAGGAAGACACAAAACAGCAGCTGATGGATTATGCTTTATGGTTCCCGCTGGAGACACCCCTGGATGAGCTTAAGTTGCTGGTCAGGGATTCTCAGCAACCACTATGGTGGTGCAAACTCAACATCTATTGGACGAAGCACACTTGTGGGATCACCTTACCCGCAAGAAACGGCACGCAAAGGAAGGACTTTGGTCATTTCAACTTCACCACCATGGAAGTGGCTGTACCAGACAGATACAAGCTTCTCGTATCCATCCGCTGTGCGGAGCTGACGGTACCCTGTTCAAACAATATGGCCATATCATGCTCAACCAATAGTGTGAGATACATGCCATGCATGTGTGTTTGTGTGTATGATTGTGAATGAACCAAGGCCATCTTCTTTGAGGCTTGCAACTGGGAGAATGAGAGCATCACCCCGGACAGTGACCGTGTGACCGAAAAATTTGAAGAATTGAAAGATCAGGCGGCACAGGCTCTGGAAGAGCTGGCTCAAGTCCCTGAAGATGTTGAATAGGGTGTTTTTCGATGCTGAATGAAAGCTAAATGCTTTCAGGGGATTTCGGAGTGACTGCGTGACCTAAGACCAAAATTGCATGTGCAGAATTAAGGGTGAAGTACATTGTTGATTGCCAAGTCCGTGTGGGTCAGGGTGTCAGTCCTGTACTCCGGGTATTTTGGAGAGTGGTTCAAGTGGAGGCTAGATGGTGATTGAAAGCCACCCCTCCCGCCAAGAAAACCTTAGATGTCCCAACTGGTCGCAAAGGAAAAAGGAGCTGCTTGCGCAGTCTCAGAGTTTGTCGGCCATGTGTTGAAGCTCATATATAGATAAACCTGCCGAGCAAAAGTATATTTAATATATATCTATGAGCTAGCATTAAATACATGTGTTGCCTATCCGTGCTTTGAGGTCATCCTGCTGGCAAGACTCGTGGGGAGCGCTGGAGGGTACGGATCGATCTTCTGAAGAAGTCGGTCCAAAGAAAGAAAGGAGTTTCTGGCATGTCTTAATTTGTTTGAGCTCTCAACTGTGCATCAAAGGCATGTATGGCGTTCATGAGCACGACTGCCATGTATGAAGGGTAGCATCAGGTAGCCATCTCAAGCTCGAGCGAAGGGCCCCTTTTCCCTTTGGTTGGGATCCATGGTGTGTTTGGATCTTTTGATGTGGCGTCTTCGGAAAATGGGTGCTCCGAAGGCCAGGTCAAAGCTAATTTAGTATAATAGCGTCCACAATTGAGTCAATTGAGGGTTTGAAAACCTTTGTTGCAGGCCCTGGCGCTTATAGTGTTCCTGCTCCACTGTGTGTCGGACCAATTCAAGCTGGACGAAGAGGAGCTTGAATTGGTCGTGTGTTTTTTATGCACGTGTTTGTTCGCATGCTAGGGACTCTGCTTGCAGGACATGGACTTCATAGAGCTATTTGCAGGTGTTGCCAACACTACCAAGATGGCTCGCTATTCACATTTGAAGTCGGCCAAGTTTGATGTTCTCTACGAAGCTGGTAAGAAGAAATCCCACAAGTCTGACTTCATGAACATTCTTCACTCCAGTGGATTTCTGTTCTTCTTCTATATACTGCATTGTTTGGTTGTTCCCAATTTTTCCCTCGTGCACAAGCTTTTCTTCACATGCCTGTTGCCCAACATCTCGCGACTGTCCTGTGTCTCAGGTTGGCCTGCATCTGGATCTTGAAAGGCAGGTCGGACGTGGGCTTCGTTGTCCTGCTTGCCACCAAATGCTCTTCATGGGGACCGATGAATAGGGGAACATCGGGGCGTTCTGCGTGCTGTAGCGTGGGGAACCTACAGCTTCGATCGGTGGTGGAAGGAAACGAGCTTTGTGAGAGGATTGGGTCCACATGTGAGACATGTTTTGAACATGTCCTAACAAATTTAGCAAGGCACTCGCCCCCAAAACGGAGCCCCATAGAAAA